TTTCTTTTTTTGGTACTGGGAATTGAGTGACATGTTCTTGATGTGACACTATTGAGAAATGTGCAGAGCAGCTTAGCAAAGTTTATATTTTTGTGAGTGTACATAACTCATTTGTTTGTGGAACCCTCCTGGTAAGAGTTTGGATGTGTAGAAGGCCCAGAAAGGTATTGGAGTTGATTGCACATGGGATACTTGGAGCAGTTAAGTAAACACTACATCAAACCAAGTTGTCCATATCTTGATTTAGAGGGAAATGATTCAGAACATACTTGCTCTGATTCTACAAATGCATGATATGAAACTTTATACCTATTTAAGTGAACAAGGGTTATAAGGAAGACCAGATTCCTTTGGCAATGGGACTACAGGTCATTTCTATGGTCAAGCCCTAAGCCATGACCCGGGGAAGTTATCTTTCTTTGATCTTAGTGCTGGTCAGCATGAGTTCTCACCTGTACAGACCCTTGTGTGCTCACTTGCACCCTAGACCAGCACTGGCCACTGTTGGAGTTTTCATGCTCCTGCTCTGGGTTGATGGAGACCGAGTTGCCACATGGTGTGCTGATGATCTGCACAGAGCTCTGCCAAGAGAGTACCTGACATTTGAGCCACAAGTTATCATTCACTCCTCCTGGCCATCCCCACACAGCGCCCTCATAGAAAAATCTCTCCACGTTAGGCGGCATAGGGCGGTATATGTATAATCTTGAGACAGAGAGGTGCGAGAGGACAGCTTGAATCAGTTGATTAACCTCCCATCAGATAAACTGATCCCCAATAATCCCGTAACTATAGACCTTCGATGCCTGTCATACTTCCAACCATGAAGTAGGAAATAGGAAGTGGACAGGTCAAAGTTGGGACACTTTAAATCTCCCCCTGTTTGGGTCAACCCCTGCACATCCCCCCAAATCCATTGGTGAATGACTGCCCTTAAGAGGCTGGCATTGGCATGGGGTTATCTCTCTTACTTGTCGGCTCCTCCTGAACATTAGCTTGAAACATCCACAGTGAGGTGGGAACCAAGATCTGAAAAGGCTCTGGTTCCTGTGCCTTTTGCGGCTAGAACTTTGGAAACCAGGAAAACAGCAAAAGCTCATCTTCTACTCTTGAATGTCTCCCTCCAAGTGATCAGGGCAGGAGATAGATTCAAAAGTGTGGAGGCTTGGTTACCAGAGTTCCAAGCCTTGTTGGGTTCTATCACCGAGGTCATGAGGTCATTTCTTCAAAATTCCATTACAGTTAGGATGAGGAAGGGGATGAATGTTAGGGTGAGGGAACAAGATGGCGTTTGGGTTGAGGTTTGTTGGGATGTAGTGGAGGTTTAACATGAGATTTGCACTGTGTTATGGCTGAGAATGAGAGATGAAGTGTTAGAAATTAGGTTCCAGGTTTTTGAAAAGTATTTCCTTCTTAGTACATCCTTGCAGTAGCTGTAGTTACACACAGTGGGGAGTAGGTGCACATTCACCGTAGAGTTGTTTTGTAATCCCCTTCCCTCTTCCTCTTCTAAATCCCTTTTGCTTGATTTCATTAATGTTATTAAACTCATCTCATGCATAAAACACACAGTGCTCACATTCACTTAGCAGATTAAATTCCTGCACATGGCATATCTTTATTCTCTTTATTTTCCGTTATGTGTAGATAGTACATTTTCTTTACACAGTCACCAGTGGATACACAGATGGCTTCCTTGATTTTGCTCTTAAGACCATGCTGCTATAAACCTTGGCTCTTTCTGTTACTCAGGATTTGGGTAGGGATTAGCATTGTAATTGAGTTTAGGGTTTGGGTTTAGGGAGATAAAGATCTAAGGGGGATGTGGGACATTTTCTTGTTATTGAGAATAAATAAGCAACAGTCCCAATTTATGAGGAGATGTTTATTTGAGCTAATGGTTTTTTAAGGGTTCAGTTTTGTTTGGGGGAATAAGTAAAGGAGGTGTATGGTGCAGAGTCAGCTTTGGGATTGGAATGAGGGCTAGCTTAGGCCCACGTTTAGGGCTACAGTAAGTGCTAAAGGTATTAAATATAGTGTTAGGGGCAGTGGTTAGTGGTTAGGATTAGATTTCAAAAACAGAGTTCGGGTTCAGATTAGGAATTAGGGCAGGTTTTAGTGATTAGTCTTGGGGATCAGTGTGAGTTTCCAGTTGGGAGTTAAGGTTAGGGTTACATTTATGATTAATACTGCAGGATACAGGTCCAGTTGGGATAATATCAGTGTCAGAGCTGGGGTCATATTTAGGGTTCAAGTTAGGGTTAAGGTAAAGTTTAGTGTTTAGGTTTTGACATTGGTTGAGTTTAATCTGTGTTTATAGAAGCAGATTTAGGGATAGGATGAATGGTGGAGGACTATGGTTAGTTTTCATCTCTTTTGTTTTAGAGTGAGGGGTGGGATTAGGAATCAGAGTGGGTGATGTTGTCAGTGTTATTGTAGGGTATTGTCAGTGTTAGGGTAGGGGAGCATGAGTAATAGGTTTGGGGTTACTGCTCATTTATGCTTAGCTCATTGCTTAGTTTTAGTGTTATAGTCAGAGTCTTAGGGTTATAAAGTTAGGGTTAGTGTTATGTTAGAGTTAGGATTATTTTCTAATAGGATGAATCTTTGGGGAGGGTTAGTTCCTGATAATTGTTGGGTTATATATAGGGGTCGGTGTACTGGGAAGATGAGGTTTATGCAGAAAAAGAACAGATGTGAAAAACAACAACAACAACAAAATGAAACCATAAAAACAAAGAATTTTCCTGGATGTAAAGGATGTAGCATTCAGTTAAGGACATTATCCAACTGGATAGAAGAGCCATTCCAAGCCAAGTACTTTCTAAAAGAGATGAACTTCATATGTACATGAAAATTTAAAAACAGTAAATCAATGTGGAAACATTCCAAAAAGGAGTAAGAATCACAATGCAAATACCATAATTAGAAGTGCTGTAACGGCTGTATTGATATCAGTTGAAACAGAGTTAAAGAGAAAGACTGTGAGCATACGAAGTATTACATTTAGTAAAGAAGATCCACAGATATCAGTGGGTAAGATGTGCCACTTGATTCGAGGAAAAATGTGATATCATGTAGGAGAGCAACTCAATAAATGAAAAGCCTTTTTGGTAGCTAGATATTATTATGGAAAATGTCCTACATCTGTACTCCTGAGATAATATTGAAGCCTGCACAAATATTTTAGGAAAATATTCTTTTTGTCCTGTATGTTTTAAGAGTACTTTTGTACTGTATATAAAGGAAGCTCTAGAGGCAGAAATAGTTTACAGAATGAAAAGTACCATAATAATTTAAAGATGAAACGAGCAAAACTCTGAAAATTTAAACCTTTTTCAGAAATACACATTTGCAAAAAAATGAGGTATGAGCAGCAGTGTGCAGAAAATGGTAGTGGTGAGCTTTTCTGTTGTGTCTTCTAGGACTTGGGCAGTAAGGAAGGTGCTATTGTTAAGTGACTCAGAGAAGCAGATATCAAGGAAAACAGTAAAACATGAGTAAGCACAAGGTTTCCCATAGCAGGAGGAGAGAGCCCCCCACCTGCTGGAGAATCCAACCCTTTCAGTTGGTTCAATTTTATGAGTGGAATGAGGTTTTGGGAAAGTTATTTTCCACTTAGATCAAACCTTGAAAACTGCTAAGATGTAGTCTTAAAAATCTGTGAGAATTTAAAGAATGTGATGGATGCCTGTGCTTTAGAGGACATAATGAAATGGGAACTAATTCACCCCCGTGACCATCTCAGTGATGGCATCAGGAATTTGAGCACATTATCATTGGTATCCAAACCATATAGCATGATTTATTTGTTACACATTGCAGAACCTGGAATCAGGTAGCAGTGAGCCTGTGGAAAACCATCTGAGTTTACCTGATCATGGTTTTCCTTTAGATAAGGTGATGTTTGTTTAAGCCATTCAGATACAGTGATATTATCTATGATTGCAACTATGGGAGTGTCATGGTAGGGAAGTGAAATGTTCCATAAAACTAAAGGTTTTGTTGAGAGTCGATGGGGTTTTTGGAAAATGATCAGATAATCAAGGCAGCAAGAATAGGTGGATGTCATTATAGGCAGGTGATGGATAAAGGCAATAGCCTTATTGGGTCATGGGGGTGAACATGAGGCATATATGTGTTCCCCGAATTTTTCCTGTCTGACTCCTGGACTCTTCTTTGGTGCCTGGTTGCCATGCTGAGACACTTTCCTCTTCCTGGCCTTTTCTGCTCTTTCTGACTTCCTGCAGGTCTAAAGTGAGAAAAGGTAGGCCATGGACTGCAACCTGTGGATTGTGAACCAAAATAAGCTTTTTGTCTTTCAAATTGTTTATGTCAGGTTCTCACACAACTAGTGACATTTTAAAATCTAAGGAAATTTTATGCAATTTGTACTTGTGAAAAATAATAGCATTTTATTTTTTAACTTGAATTAGAAATATTATTACAGATATTTAATAGAGTGACACTCTATTTATATTTAGATTAATCTATCTTTTATTCATGTTAGCATTAAATTGTGTTTATACCTTTGAAAATGACTGTATGCATGTTTTTCAATGAATTCTAGTTTTATGCAGCTCACTCAGTTTTCTCATATAAGACATAACTATCACATGTAATTCTTGTTGATTTATGTTTTCATCAGTAAAATATTCTATAAATATGCAGAAATTTTTGCAAATCTTTCTAACATACTACCCAATATCTTATTTTTTCATTTTGTTTTGACCTTTTTGTTAATTCATTTAGCAATAAAATATTCTCTCATTTGGATGAATGCATAAACCTGTTAGAAGTTTTTATAATAGGGTTAGTTCTTCTTTAGTTCATCCATGTGTATACAGATCTGGGTTTGGGTTACTACTGAGGGCAGTAAATCGGTGTCACTGGAAACATTTAAATCAGAGCTAAACAACCAGGCCATTGGGATTTTATATGTAGAAGTAAATGAGGATTTTGTTCAGGGAGATTCTCAAAGATCCTTCTCCTGCCCACAGTTCTGGTGAATGTGATGGCTGTGTGGCTTCTCCAGGTGTCCATGCACTGTAGAAGAAGAGCTGAGCTTCCTAGGAATGCTGCGTTCCGCTTCTCCAAAGACCCCACTGTTCTGCTGTCATTCATCATATGCTATCAGGTGTTGGTTGGAGCTGGTTGGGCATTTATCCAGGTATTGGTGAGTAAGAGTGGTTTTGAGTGCTCCTTCTACTTGTGTAAAACATATAAACATAAATGTAGATCATGTAAACAATTAATTATCATATGTCAGGAGAGAGAAGAAAATGAATGACTCAGAGATCTCAAAGTGTAATACATTTTATGCACCAGTAGAAGATGTAAAACGTTCATTGCAGAGGGGCAGAAATATAAGAATAGGGAATGAAAAAGTAATTTTTAAAAGACCAAGGATAACTCAGCATTTATTATATTGTATAATTCATCTAGTTATTTAAATGCATTACATAAATTCATTCTCTCAGCAACTCTGAAAAGCCGCTATGCATCATTAACTCTTTCTTACATCTGAAAACAACACTGGATATGTAGTAAGTTCCATGAAGTCAACAGCCATTGAGTAGCAGACCTGGGTCTGACTTACAGGGTCCATTTCACTTTGTTGCCTTCTGCATATATTTGATTTGGTAAAAGGAAATTCAAATTTCATGCAATTTTCTTTTTCCCATTCTGTCTGTTATGGCCAGGGAAATAGCCTTTTAGTTTCTCTGATCTTTGAAGGCTTGGAAGTGAACAATGTAGATATTTCTTAGGTAATTCTGTTGCATAACTGAGCAGCTATAGCTCAACTCAGTCCACAATTAAGAGTCATGGATCCACTAGGGAGGGAAAGAGAAAGCACTGTACAACTCAGGGGTTACACAGCAGGAGCATATGTGTGTGTCTTTTCATTGGTTGGATGAATATGTACTGAATTGCACGAGTGAGTGTAATCAGTGTAAACAAACAAAGTCAAACCCAGACAAAACAAAACGCAAGGAAACAGCATCTGCTCCCTAAACTTCCAGAGAGAAAAGGTGCATCTGCCTAAATTGGTTTATTGCTTGTTTTTTTCTTAGGGTTGCAGCCATTTGTCAAAGATATTCCCCTAAATCCAGGGATTTAAAAGTGGTGAAAGTCTTGTATCTTGGTTTGAATTTCCACATAGAATATAATCAATCACAGCAAAGAATGGGATCCCAGTAATACAAAACTTATCCCAGGAGTTTATTAAATACTTATATTAGCTACTGTTCAGTTCTTTCTCCTGCTGTGAATGTGCAGATCATTTCATACATTAGGGCAATCAGGAAACAGAATGAAGATAATTGCAGGGGGAAAATTATTGGAAGAATTTATTTCTGATAAAGAAATTATATCCATAATACACAAAGAAATTTAAAAACTCAATAATAAGAAAAGAAATCATGAAATCAAAATCCATTCTTTTTTTTTTTTGGTACTGTGATTAAACTCATGCCTGCATGCTTGCAAGGGCAGGCACTTATGCCATTGAGCTAAGTCCTAGGCCCGAAACCATGCAATTAAGAACAGGTTTGAGATATGTGGTGAAGGAGGTGTATGAGCACCAAGTAGATGCATTAAAGTTTCAGATGAACGTATACTCATAACTTCAAAGATATTCAATGCTTATCTCATGGCACTGATGCATTGCAGATTATCTCTAACCTCCTGGGAAAAACGATTTCATTTCCACAGTACATCACTCACTAAGGCCCTGCGATGAAATCCAAAGTCAGGGTTTGAGTAAGAGAAAAAAGAAAAAAACCTTAATATTTGCAGTTTTGTGTAGCTAATGTTCTTCCTGGCTGACATCTGAAGAAACGGCAGAATGTTGAGAAAGTGTGTAGGAACAATTGTGTGTAACAGAATTATTTAACGGGGCCAGCAAAATATTTTTTTGGTGGAAATAAAAACATAAGAAAGCATTGCAGGTTTCTGTGGCTTGAGTTTTCAAGTCTATACGGAAGGAATAGGAGAGCCAGAGCATGTTTGACAGTGACAGAGAAATAGCATGCAGCTACTGACAAGCAAAAGAAAAACACACACACACATGATTTTCAGTTTGCAGTTGCCAGCGATGGATGAAGTGAGTGTTAAATGTCCATGAATCAAGGGATAAATTGCTGGTAAAAGGAACAGGAGAATGATGCACAGCTCAGGATTCTCTTTGAATCCCTCAGTCTGAATACAGTAACTTCCCTGATACTCTTTATGGTGAAATCTCAGAGAACAAAATGGAAGATAGCCAAAACTTACAGTTTATCCTTTTATCAAATTGTGATGACCACCGTGATCGTCAAGGGTATGAACAATGTCCATGTGTATTTGTGTGTGTACGGTGTGTGTGTGTGTGTGTGTGTGTGTGTGTGTGTGCGCAGGGTGTGTGTACATGTGTGTATTCTAGCACATGGATTTTATGAAATTCCTTTCCTCTTCATAAAATAGAATGAACCAAATGTTGAACGTGGCAAACATTTATCTTCTAGTGTTAGACTCCTGCTTGTCCTTCCTTCAGGTTATCTTCACCGTCAGGAGAAGGAACACACAGGCACAACTAGGAGACCCATGTCTACCTCTGCAAATGTAAGTTCAGTATTTTTTCTGCTTTGTGTTTGCCAGAAGACAGTTGGTGCTTACTTCCTATGCATGACTTTCTTTCCTTGTGACTGGGACAAAGCAGTTGACAGCAGAGAAGTGGTAAAGTTTGCTATGTTTCACAGTGTCAGTCCCTGGTGAGCTGGTTGCAAGCTAGAAACAGGGTAATGGAGGGCATCGTGGAAGAAAGGCTGCTCTCCTCATGAAGACCAGGAAGCAGGGGGAGAAGGGAGGAGCCAGAGAGAGACATCCATTCCCCCAGGTTCATGGGCCCAGTGGTCAGGCTCCTAGCTATAAGTATCTCTGTGATTTCCTCACATTCTAAAAGCCCAGCCTATAAGTGTAAGAGATGTTAAGAGGGTATTCCAGATCTCAACCATTATTATTCAAAGATTAACTAAAGTACAGGTTACATAGATGAAGTGACCATATTTGTGTGAATTTACTAGACTGTGTTAATTTGATACATGCATGTGGATAGCTATTAACTCAGCTGTGATAGCATATATATCAAAATACACCTTTATCATTCCTTTGCAGTATATAACTTGTAATCTCTTTCACTGTTTGATAAATGATATGGAATATGTGAAAAATAGTACTCAATTCCAATATTTGAACATTTTATTATTCTAATTTTATTGATTGAATTTATTTTTGTCTCTACTGCTAATTTTACTAGCTCCCTTTCTTAAATTCCGTGTGCTTCACAGTGCTAAAATACAATTCCATTTACTCTGAGGGTGTCACTTTACTTTTCACTTTTGTATTTTAGTTGGTTTTCTCTTATTCTTTCATATTGCATCAGTAAAGTGAGTTTTCCCCTTTAATAGGTGAATGCAATATGATTTTCTGAATTATTTTTAAAATATATATTAGGTAACATTATTATACATCTGAAATGTTAATTTCATATTCTACTCTGGCCTATTCCACTTCTCATCACTTCTCATTTTTATTCTCTGTGTCATTAATCTAGCGCATCCAGTATGTCCTATGATTCTGATACTATAACTTGTGATTCATCTTAAATTGAGAATTTCAGTTGAATTTTTTTCAGTTGTATTTCTAATAAGTCTATTTGTGCATTGACTTCTAGGAATTCTTAGTTTATTTTCCCTAATTCTCTTTTTCTACTGCAGCAGTGTATCATATGTTGCATAATGATTTCCTCTTGGAATCATTCAGTTCTCTATTGTATCTTATTTGACCTCATTAAATAATAAATTATTTGATTAATTCAGCTCCTTATTTGTATCATCTTTAATGTAATTGATTGTTTTCAGTATTCTGGTTTCAAATTCTTTGATATTTCAATTGTGATATCAGTAGAATTGGTTTTAGAGAACTGCAAATATTGGGAATCTGTTTTCTTGGCTTTCTGATGAATCTAGTGTGTGTGAGTTTATGTGTCTGTGAGAGACAGACAGAGAGAGAGACAGAGAGACAGAGAGAGAGACAGAGAGACAGAGACAGAGACAGAGACAGAGAAAGAATGTGTGTGAGTGTAATATGTTGAAGTTTGAGGATCACTGGGGTTGGAGAGTGAAAGACCTATTGTGCATAAACCTTTTGAGGAAGTGCCTTATTCATTGTGATGTTTCTTAGGCTGTCAGGGTCCCAGCAGGAAACAATGCAGTCAACCCTTTGTTCTCCAATTTGGCACTAGATTGAGCTCTTAGCACTGTTTCTGAGGACAGAGTAACCACCAAGTATATCGGTATCTGAAAAATAATCCATAAATTCACGTGTAATTTAAAACTTCTTTGAACTATTCTCCAAGTGTTTCATTCCTCAGGAACTGACAGAGGAAGTAATAATTTGGGACCTACTAGGGGAGCAGTAGGCTTTAATGAGAATATTCTTGTATAACAGAAATGAGGGATGGAGTATGTGAGAGACTATGAAAAGAGAAGGAACAAACAAGGGAAGTGAATTTGAATGAAATGTGAGAAAAACATAATGAGATTATCCCAGTGAATGAGCAAGCAGGTGCATGTGTCTGACAGGCTGGCAGGCAGAGGAAAGGGGTCTGTAGGCAGACAAAGGCCTCTTCAGGCTTCCTGGCTAATCCTGACAGGAGCCAGGTAAAGCTTTATTGGAGGGAACATTAAGAGTAAGGCGGGGCTGAAATACAGAGCAGTAGTTAGAGTCAAACTTGGGCAGATGCAGAAACCAGGCAGCCTGCCACTGAGAGAGCTCACCTTACTCTGAAAGCCTTCTCTTGTCACCGTCAAATACATATGAGAATAAATAATGTAATCATGTTGTTCAACTACATGCACTCTTGTTAGTGTTTATCTAACAGCATCATCAGTCATTTGAATAAGAGTTATAGTTGATATAGTAAACACCATTCATGAATATGTGAGCATTTACCCTAGGTATAGGAAGTTATGAAAAGTACTCCGTATAATACTGGAAATACACTCGCATGCACACACACACACACATACACACACACACACACACACACACACACACGTATCCACACAGAAAATGTGATACTTAGAATCCTGCAAGAGGATCAGCAATCCTACAAGTGGTACTTCAGATTAGGAAGTAATTGTGAACTTGAAAAAGAAACAACAAACCGCTAATGAGAAATAACATTAAGAAAAAGGAATGAACAGAAGTCTAGAGTAACTTCAGGACACTATGAAGTAATCTGAGAAAACTGAGCCATCAACAGTTAATACTGATTTCGCAATAAGAAACTGAAGAAGCCATTGGCTATGCAGTTCAAAGCATCCTGGGAAGGACAACTCTAGAAGAGTCCTCAGTATGTGCACAGAAGGAATACTAAATGCAAAAATTTTAAATTCAGTGTGAAAACACTGCATAATAATAACTTTAAAGTACTAAAGAAAACTTATACTATTGCAATTATAACTTTCAGCCACATATAATAATAACATTTATGAGAAAATAAAGAATTGGGGAAGATTGATTTATATTATGCAAAGTTTCTCATGCAGGAGGTTGTTCAATAAGGGTTGACCTATATAGTCCATGTTTACTGTTTTCCATCACCTGAGTTCAATCTCCAACACCAAAAGAGAAGTTATTTCATATATCATTATGAATACATGAAATTATTTCATATATTAAAGTGACCTTAATATATCATGAATTTTAAAATAAAAGGTCATTACTGCATGAAAAAAGCAAATATATCAAGAATAAAGATATCACCAAATCTTCAAAAAACTTAAAATGGAAAGTAAAATATAGTTTCCTGTTAATGAGTTTGATGATGAAAAAGCAAAATTCTTTAAAGGTACATTAGAAAAAGAGAGATAATAAGAGTAATTGCCTACTTCATAAGTGCAGTAATTTTATGAGAATTATTCATAGGAATGAAATATTAGTAGTAGTTTTTCCTTTGTAAAGCAAATTCTCACCTACCCTTCCCACTGGAATGATGGACAACAGATTGCATGCACTCTCTTTTCATGTGAAAGATGCTAATAAGAGTATTTAAGAAGAAAAAGATAGGGCATCCTGGGCACTGAATTACTTGCCCAAAGCAGGCAAATTGAAAATAACTTGAGCAATAGGATAAGTATGAAGCAGCAGGAAAATCAGTGACAGCCATCAACGCTGTTTTATGTCAGACGAGTCTATTTCTGAAAATTATATTGTGCTAGGAAAGCTGTTTGCTGGTGTGATTAGCCTGCCTGTAATCAGGCACCATCTGATAAGTGTTCTCTCCACTGACCTCTGTTTTAGTAAATGTAACGGCAGTATTACTTTCTACTCATTAATTATTCGGATGCAAAAACGTGTTCATAATTTGTTGCACAGCATTGTAGTTTTTTAAAAATCATATTGTATTTCATAGCACATTGACCTTACAGCAAGAGAGACAGCATGATATCTTCAATTATTTCAGAAATAATTTCCATTTTGTGATATGTGTAGTGATATAAGAAATGAGTGGGCAAAAGGAAATAGTTCAGATGTTCCTTCTAGCCAGTAGATTGTATTATGCTTACTTTCTAACATGATATAAATGCTTTGTACCCTGTGTAATAAAGGACATAACATATACCTAATTTATTTAGAATTATAAAGTTTCCTGAATTTATATATTATTTGCAATATCAGATTCTATTGATGTGTTTCATACCCAAAACCAACAGCAAACTTCCAAACTCATACACATACATAAAAATGAATGTAAGAGTGCTGGGGTGTAGCTCAGGGGCACAAGTGCCTGCCTGTCAAGTGTGAGCTCTTGAGTTTGATTTCCAGTACCAAAAAAAAAAAAAATCATGTAAGGAAGAAATCACATGTAGTAAACATAACTGAAAAAAGACAACAGCATGTAAATGTATGAAACTGAAGACTTTTATGTTTTGAGAGATGAGCCCGAACATTTTAAATAATACATACATACATATTAAATTATTAATTAAATTGCAAAGAAAAACAACTAGAAATATGTACAAAGATAGCATTCATAAAATGTAGATACAAACAAATAATAAATGATAATTTTCTATAACATTCATGTAGAACAGTGTGTGATTTTGTCACTAACTCAGAAATATGAGCAATAAAATAGAATGTAAAATATACAAATGAATTCATCAAAAGTTTTGAATTAGTAAAAGACTGATAAACGTCAGTCCAAATAGAGTTTTTGTATTTTACTTTGGATATGCAAAGTACAAATATAAAGTGTATTCAATATTAAGACATACTAGCTTCCTAAACTTAACAGTTTAATTTAATTTAATATTTAACTAATATTTAACTAATTTAATATTTAACTTTATTTAGAATGCAAAGTGGATAACTTCTTTTTTTTTTTTTTTTTTTTTTTTGTCTTTTTCCTTTTTATCGGTACCAGGGATCGAACTCAGACTGCCTGCTTCCAAGGCAGGTGCTTATGCAGCTGAGCTAAATCCCCAGCCCTGCAAAGTGGATAACTTCTTATCTTTTTTAAAACTTTGTAGGTTTTGTGTTTATACATTAACAAA